ACATTCTCATCTTCATAACATCAGAGAAAACAGCTCATCAAATCAACGGCAATGCTTTACCCCAACTGATACAATCAGCAACACATTAATTAAGATCAAGCACAACTTGGACACTGACCACCTGTGGTAGTCACTAGTCTATCACCCTTAAATCATTTGAATTAAATTGAAATCAAGAAGCAGTCCAGAACATGTCTGCAGTGAACAAACTTTTCAATATAGTATATTTACCATTTAATGGCTCAGACAGAGCGAGGATGCAAGACCCCTGATCTCAGTTAGCTGATTGCTGAACCCCATGATGCTGACTGACCTCGGGCTGCAAGGCCCAGATTGAGTTCCCCATCTTTCTGAATGGTTGAACTCTGCAACGTTCTATTATAGGTTTCCCACGCCCTTTCTTTAAAGATGTTCAAAGTTGGGAACTCAGAAAAATGCCCTTGATGACCACCTCTGTCTTTGCAGTGTGGGTCCAAAGACTTGCAGTCAGGAGGTCTGAGAGTGTGTGTGGGGGGATTATGGGGGTTCAGGGGCGCCAGCGCAGCTACCTTCCCGGTGCTTGAGCGATGGCTGCTGAGTCGGGAGCAGGCGTGGTTCTCCTTCCCGCAGTGGATCGGGGCCCGGCCTACCTTCCCGGTGCTTGAGCGATGGCTGCTGGGTTGGGAGCAAGCGTGGTTCTCCTTCCTGCGGTGGATCGGGGCCTGGCCTACCTTCCCGGTGCTTGAGTGATGGTTGCTGGGTCGGGAGCAGGCGTGGTTCCAAAAATAATTGGTAGTAATAGACTTATTTAAACATTTTTTTAAATTTTTGCTCTAAAGAGGTAAGAATTAAATAAGATAATTTGTGTGAAGTACTGAGAGTAGTATGTGCTCTCTAGATGTTAATTGTTAACTTTTTCATCATATCAACCTGCCAGGGTAGAAAAAGCACAACTCGTGATTAACAGGTGGCCCTGCTGTATACTCTGCAAGGCTTGGGGAAGGTTACTTCCTGAAGCTTCATTTTCTAACCCATATCCTAGCAGTATCAAAACCTCTTGCCCAGAACAGAGAAAATTATATATATTATATACATGAAAGTCCATAGCAGATAAGAGATCCCCCCACCCCCACTCTGGGGCTTGAGAATATGAAACATGCAGGGAAATAAAAGTTCCCTTTCTGGAGATGTCAGTTGTACCTTTAGCACTAAAGATTCTGGCAAGGTTGAAATAACATCAAACCTGTTTTTTGTGAAGTTTTGGTGTTTTGTTTTGTTTAGGATTGAACCCAGAGGCTTTTACACAGAACTGTATTTCCAGACCTTTTTTATTTTTTATTTTGAGACATTCTCACTAAATTGCCCAGGATTGGCTTTTTGATCCTCCCACCTCAGCCTCCCAGAGTACTAGGATTACAAGCATGTGCTACCATGCCTGGCCAAATCTATTTATTATTTTGATGTTTTTATTTTATTTTTTTCTCATTAAGTTTATTGGTATATTTTAGGTATACGTTATGATCACATTCGTCATTGGGAATTTGTACTTGTACATGATATATCTTGGTTCTTGTTTTTTTCTTCATTCCCCTCCCTTCCCCTCTACCCCTCCATCCCTCCCTATTTACAAAAACTTTGTATCCGTTTCTTTCTTTTCTCATATTTTTCCTTCCCTTCTTTCCCCCACTCTCCTACTTATTATTTTAAAATAAACTTTATTTTAGAAAGATTTTAGACTTTTCCACAGTAAGGTAGCAAACATATGAGAGTTCCCATACACTCAATTGGTCCTAACGTAGCATCTTAGATTACCAGGAGCATATGTCAGAATTTCACAGTGTTTAACATTGGTATGGTACTATTAATTTACCTCAGATTTTATTTGAAGTTTGGCAGGATTTTTTCAGTAAGGGCTTTTTTGTGTTTTAGGATCTATTCAAGGATACCACACTGCTTTTAGAAAGCCTTCCAGGCTACATTGTAATTCGGTGATGGAGCATTTGCCTAGTATGTGCAAGGCCCTGGCTCACATCCCCAGCACCACAAAGTAAACAAAGTGTGCTTCATTTTGTTTAATAACAGTAAATAGCACAAGAGTATATTTTCCCTCACTTACCTTTAAATAACCCTTAACACAATTTTCCCTTAACATGAGTTGGAAATTGCTACTGTGGCCTTTGGGATGCCCTGGAAAATCCTAATAGAATGAAAACATAGGCGGTCAGAATGCTAGAAAGTAACTGTTTCTGTGGGGCAGATGTCCAGCAGGGAAGTAGTCTTTTGGTACCTTTGCCAAATCCATCCTTTTGATGTGGCTTTTCCCTGCAGGCATAATAATAAGGTGCTGCACCCAGAAATCTGTGTGGTAGAAATGGGTAGGCAGTAGTCTTCATCAGTTTCTGGATTGGGATGTAGTATTTAACAGTCATTTGCTTGGTCATTTGGCTTTATGCCAAGGACCATGTTCATGAGTGACCGTGGTGCCAAGATGGAGACTTGACCATGTGTCCCTACTCTTAGAGGAGACACAAGTGACAGACCATTAATTCCCAAGAGCAGGTGATCATGCTTAGTATGATTGGGCCATTTTCCTCACACCAGAGAGAGCAGAGAAGTGAGACCTGTGCTTAAACAGTCCTCAAGTCCTGGTGATCTCAGGAGGAAAGCCATAAGCTTATGAAAAGCTGTGTAGCTCCAGGGAGTTCCCCAAACCCCTTGAGCACAGTAGTATTTAGAATAAGAATTCTGGCAGCCAAGATATTCCCACCTGTGGAAATCCAGTTTTCTCAGGTTACATAACCACAAAAGTCCTTTTTCAGTAGCAGCTATTGCAGTTGAAATAAATGCACATTTCAGATGCTTAAAAATCCTTGCTAGGCAGATTTCACTGTTGCAGGTTGCAGAAGAGCCTTGTTAGAAGCAGATACAGCTCTGTGAAGTGGCCTCTTGCAGGTCTCTTCTGACTCTTACAGTCCCGTGACTGAATGGCCTCCATGTTCCTTCAGGGTGACCTAAACTGAGTGGAGGGCACTTCTGGGACCAGCGCTGAGGAGATGCAACCAATCTTCCACAGCCCTTCAGACACTGTAGTAGGAAAGTTCAAATATTCATTTCCAGAAATGCTAACAATTGTTTAATGGGGTCTGGTTTTTTCCCACTGAACATAGCTTTTTAATGTGGTTCTCCCTGAAGGTCAGAGCTGCTCTTCTTTGCATGTCCACACTCTCTTCTATTACATTAATTGGTTGAACTGTTTTGCTATTAAAGATATTAAAACTTTAAATGTGCAGATTCCCTTGATTTAGCAATTCCATTTCTGTCACTTTTAATTAAGGAATTAAGAGTCCCCAGGGCCGGGGATTTAGCTCAGTGGTTCTGCCTCCTGCCTTGCAAGCACAATCACCCAAGTTTGATCCCCAGTACCAAAAAGAAAAAGGAAAAAAAGAGTTCCCAAAGTTTTGCTTAAATAATTTTAAATTGGACATACTTCAATGGCCTGTTACTAGAAATTAGTTAAATAAATTATGATGCATCTATTGTGATTCAAACTAGAGATTTCTCTAAAATAGCAGACCCTAACCTTTTTGACACCAGGGACTGGTTTCATGGAAGACAGTTTTCCCATGGATTGTTTGGTGGTAGTGGTGGGGTTTAGAATTAGGTTCTCATAAGGAGCATGCAACCTAGATCTCTCACGTATGAAGTTCACAATGGGGTTCATGCCTCCAATTCTCGAGAATCTAATGCCCCCATTGATCTGGTAGGAGGCAGAGTTGCTGGGTTAATATGAGTGATGGGGAGCAGCTGTAAATACAGGAGCAAGCTCACCTTATATGCAGCCCAATTCCTAACAGCCTCAGACTGTCGTAGTCCATGGCCCTGGGCTCAGGGACCCTGATCTTGACAGAATCCCAGGGTGATCTTGCCTAGTCTGAGAAACCAAGCTCAATTTATTCCTCATATCCCAGTATGGTGTTTGTGAAAAGAATATATGTATATATTTATTCATAGATGTATTCATACTCATTTATCCATAGTTCTCCTTTAAGTCTCTTGGATAAGTGCCATGTGTAGTATAAAATTACTTTTAGTTTAAAAAAAACCCAAAGAGCCAAATGTGAGAGCACAGTTAAGTACCTAACAGCTGCATGGAATGTCATAGCCATTAAAAATGATAGGTAAAATATTCGTATGATGGTAACAAACACAGTAGTGTTCAAAATAAATACACATTTACAGGGCCGGGGATTTAGCTCAATGGCATCACAGCCTGCCTGGCAAGCACAAGGTCCTGAGTTCGAACATTGGTGCTGCAAAAATAAATGTAAACCCCATTGTGTTTATGTAAAGCATTTGCATAAACTAAAGTACTGGGAAAAAACATATAGGACCAGGGATTTATAGCTCAGTGGTTCCGGCACCTGCCTCATAAGTTCAAGGATCCGAGTTTGATCCCCAGTACCAAAATAAAATAAAAATAAAAAAATAAAAGTGATAGGGCTTAAAGTGTAACTTAGTGGTAGAGTGCTTGCTTAGGATGGTCTTGGCTTGGGTTCAGTGCCTAGAACTGCAAAAAATAAACAGAAAAGTAAAATGGTTATGTTTAATGTAGTGGGATAGTAGATAATGTTTTCTTTGGTGCTACTTTTCAGTTTTTATATAATAACTGTATTGTTTTCTTTAGTTTAGAAGTTAGATGAAAGGGAATCCAGGACTGAGAATATGCTGTTGTAGACTGGCTTTTGTGTTTCCGCTGCCTGCCTCACAAGCACAAAGTCCCGAGTTCGATCCCCAGTACTAAAAATAAATAAATAAAAACAAGGTGGTTTTTGTGGTCAACTTTGGGCTTTGCAGGATGAAGACGAAGAATTGATAAACGTCACTTTCAGAGAAGCACTTATTATCGATTTATTGTGCTTTGATTCCCCACCTCTCCCTCAGCTCCGGGAATTGACGAGGCTCAGATGGGAAAACGAGGATATCTGACACCCAGCAGTGCCCGGGAGCATCTTGGTGCCATTTGGAAGAATGAAGGTGCTGTACCAAGCTAAAAAGAGTACCCTTTTCTTCTCTAGGCTTTAATGTCCATGACATTTCTCCTGCCTTGTTATTTTAAGTGTTTTAGAGGTTGTGATAATTGTAGCTGTCTCCCAAAGTAAGCCCAAAACTTTGGGGCAGGTGTTAGGGTACAGTGAGTATGAGGCATCCAGATCCAGCACTAAAGCTTTGCTAGCTGTTGTAACTGAGTTGATTATATGACAGCTGCATGACCACTCGCTTAATACAGTTTGACATAATTCTAGGAGGGTCATTGTAGCTCACCTTTTAAATGTCCACATGTAAAAGGCCTTTAGAAGATTTCTATGGGAATTCCTTCTGTGAATCAAAAATGAAGTCTTTTTTTTCTATATTAGGATTTGTATCCATTTCAGTTCCCCACAACTAGGGAAAACCCCTTTCCTTTTTGGGTATATAACAAGACCTATGCCGTCATGCACATCTTCTGAGAGTGTCTGGAATACCAACTCTGATCTCTGTAGATGATACAGGTGAACATATTCTTTAAAAGATACCAAAAAAAGATATATCATGTACAGGTACGGTTCCCCAATGATGAATGTGATTATAATGTATACCTAAAATGTACCAATAAACTCATTAAATTAAAAAAAAAAGATGTTAGAAAAAAAGAACACTTACATTAATGCGATTGTTTCTGTGACAGGCTAGCACATTTTGTTCATTTTTCTCTGAGATTGTTTTTTGTGACAGTCTCACTATATAGTCATTTTCCTCCCTCAGCCTCCCAAATGTTGGGATATTAGGTGTGCGCATTGCCACCTTTGTATCTTACCCTTACCTGCAGGTATACTTCCATACACAAAAGGGCTTTTTGTTTTTTAACAAAGAAAATAATGTGATTTTACTCTACATATTATCCTCTTTTGTGATTTTCCTTTCAATTGGTAATATTTTTGTGGCTGTCCTCCCATATTCTTACATAGAGATTTAAATGGTCTCTTTGGTTATTTCAAACACAGGATTCTTTCTAAATTACCTTTTTTTGGGACTGGATGATGTTGACATGGAGTCCAGATTCAACCCCAGTGTGTTCTTTCTGGATTTCATAGTGGTGCCGCCCTCCAGGTAATGCCCTAACTTCACCTGAAAAAAGTTGGCTGAGGAATGGAAGAAGGACCTTTAAGAGGCGATGGGAAGATTAAGGGCACAAAGCAACAAAGGAACTCTAGGTTGTAGGTGGTGGGAGTCCTTGCCTCTCCTGTTGCAAACACAAGAGGAAGATTGGCTGTGGATTTGAGCAGGGGGAGGTGTGTTTCTTGCAGTCAGCAGAGGGAGAAGCTGAAGAACCCAACCCTTCCTTCATGCTAAACATGCCTTGATTCTCCGTGTGCCCCTGCAGGTACCGCCCTGTTAATCGCCTAGGGGACCAGATGTTTACCAATGGCCAGACGGTGAACTTGCAAGCTGTTATGAAGGACATAGTTCTGATCCGGAAGCTTCTGGCATTGATGGCCCAGGAACAGAAGCTACCCACTGATGTGGCAACACTTGCCACAGATGAGGTCAGAGCTGCCTATGCTAATGTCACAGCCCACATACTTGGTTCTGCCCATTTGCAGTGTGGACACAGACACTGCAGGTGACAGAGCAATGCTGACTAGATGTTTTTGGCAACCTCAGTGGGAGCTTAAAGCATATCTAGTTAACATCAAAGGGGCAAGTGCAAGTCTGAGCATGGGAAGGTCTAGGCTTTGGTCTCAATTTTGTCCCTAGGAGCTGTTCTCGGTGAGTCTTAGTTGAGTCACCTTAATTTCTTCAGTTCCTCTCTACTATAAGAAATGTAAGGGTTATGGTGATGTTTCATTCCTAGGCTGTTCTGTCACCTGCAGCTAGAAGCTCTAGAAAGAGTCTGATTTCCTCTGGACTGTAAGAATGTGTTCCATAGGTTACAATACTAGAACGCATGTTAGCTGGCTTTGTTTTGGTCTTGATGAGGTCTCTGGCATTGTGGCTAGAAAGGCAGTGTTGGAAAGTAGATATATTTCCCAGAATAAGACTTTCACCTAACTCCTGAACCATTTCAAAGTGTGTGCCTTGCACTGGGTCTTTAGTTGTATAAAGATGAATTGGGCACTCAGAAAACTTGCTACAGTCACTGAGACTCTTTCCAGCTCAGTGATACTCCAGGTGCAAATAGAAATAGCTGTCTCTATCCTTGGTTAGACAGGCCTCTTGGACTCACTGCCAGCTGCTGGGACACACCCACTGTCAGGCTGGCCTATCACAAGTTGGTACCACTGTCTCCTGGACACTAATACTCTGGATCATCTAGTATTTCTCCTGGAGCTTTCTCTGGTTTTGCTTAGTTTTGTGTGTTTTCTTTGTTTTGTTTTGTTTTCCCCTTTTGGTACCAGGGATCAAATTCAGAACCTTGTGAGGCAGGCGTGGTGCCACTGAGCTAAATCCCCAGCCCTTACTTAGTTTTCTGAGTGGCCAACATTGGTATACATTTAACAGGTTCTCACTGTAAGAGAGATTTGACCTGTGCAGCTAGTAGTCCAGTTTGAGAAGGAAGACTGTAGGATAGATCCAGTGACCAGGCCTGAGAATTCTATTTTGATGTCCCTGGAAAATAAGGGCAAACCTTTGTGGGGAAAAAAAAGGTCTGTGGAGAAACAAACAACGTTCCCTCTTACACTTGTCACCTTCAACACACTGGTGGGTTTCTTCTCTCATTGATATGGGACAGCTGTCTTCTAGGTCAGATGGAGCCAGTAGGTGGCGCTTTAAGGCAACCTAAGCCCTCTGTTTCCCAGTGCAGATGGAGAGAGAAGACAGGGCCAGGGGCAGAAATATTAAAAAGGATTGGTTAAATACTGGGACTCACATCATAATTCATGAGATAGGGAAGATATTTTTCCTTTTAAGAAATTGTTCTATCTGCAATTTTGGGGGAGGAGGGGTACCAGGGATCAAACCCGGGACCTTGTACTTGCGAGGCAGGTGGCATTACCACTGAGCTAAATCCCCAGCGCTGCATTTTAATAAATATGTTTGATCGTGTTTTTCTAAAACTAAATAAAACTGAAATTCCACATTAGATTTGGTTATTTGTCAAGATAACAGCTTCAGAAGTAAAGTGTTAGGAACCTAAATAGTAGGGAACTTGAGCAGTGTCTTAAGAAAGGAGGCTGCTTATAAATTTTGAGTTTATTTTACTACCTGAAAGAGACAGGCTGGTATATATGCAATGGGCCTGATGTCTCATTGACACATACTTACATGATTTATTTATTAGCACCTTACCATCGGTCTGTCAGATTCAGAGCTCATTTGTTATCAGAGCTAGGTAAGAAACCTGGACTTCTTGGATTTTTTTTTTTTCCAACCTGTTTTCTTGATTTTATCTTTTCAGGAAAAAGACTCTTCCGTTGCTATGGATCGGTCCTTTATAAGTATGCTTCCAGGCCAGTCTCTCACAGACAAACTTTATAACATTTGGATTCGCCTTCAGAGCCATGTTAATATTGTATTTGATAGTGAGATGGACAAATTAATGATGGAAAAGTTCCCTGGCATTAGACAGGTGAGCAATAAGTTAGATTTGCATTGCTAGCTAAAGAGGGTGAATAATAAACATTTATGTTAAAACAAGAAAATAATAAACAATCGAGTTTTTAAAATTGTTTCAATGGACCTTTTTGCTCCATACAGATCCTGGAGAAGAAGGAAGGCCTGTTCCGAAAGCACATGATGGGAAAGCGAGTAGACTATGCTGCCCGCTCTGTCATTTGCCCAGACATGTACATCAACACCAATGAAATCGGAATTCCCATGGTGTGTATTTGGGGAGGGGCTCATTTGCTGCTGGTGGGTAGCAGGTGAGCGTGCCAGAGAGGGCTGACAACAGGGTGTGTGGCTGCTCAGAGTGGCTCAGGTCTTCCTCATGCAAAGGAAGAGCTCATGAGGAAGGAGGTACTCAGGCTGCAGCATGGTATAACTCTCCTTGCCAGACTTGACACCCATCCACAGGGGAGAACCTTGCCCAGGGCAGCAGGTTGCTCAGGGTGGGGTGTTCACACCCTGCCTGGATATCTTCCTGCCCCTCTCGGCTTAGTCTTTAAAGCCTTCTCATTCAGTTGAGTATGTGACAGAAGACGAAAATTGGGCAGAAATGTGTACCTTTGATTACCTGGCAGGGGAAGGGGTTAGAGAGTGCTCCCAGAGGGGAGCTATGTGCATGTTGTTGGGAGTTACCCGTCTGCCAGTTCCCCTGGGTCAGTGGCCGACCCTGTTCACCCATTAGTGTTCCCTCGGTGAGCCAGTTTCCTTTTCTACCCCTTTAGTTCATACTGTCGTGCTCATTAGCAGCAGCTCTTCAGTCAACTTCCCCCTTAATGGGCCTTGAGGTCAATATTGTGAAAATGGTTTAATTCCCTCTGTGGAGTTTCACTTCCTCACACACCACCTTCCAGCTTCTCTTGGGATTACCCGTAATGAGCCGAGACATGGTGTTCTGATTCTGTTTTGAGTACACTTGAATTTTCTAGGCAAGAGCATGGAGTGTCAGGACAAGACTCAGTTCTGTGCCCTCTTCCCACTGGAAACTGTAGACCTTTGCATCCAGCAGCTTGGCCAAGTGGCAGGGAAAAGCACTGTGTGACCTTCCTGAGTCTGAGGGCCTGGGAGGAGAGGCTTTCTCTGCACAGAGACAGGGGCTGCCCCTGCTGACTTTGTCCTCACAGTGCCTAGAATGTCCTCAGCCTCCAGAAACAATTATAGTATAACTTCACTTTCTATCTTCAAGCGGTTTTTTTCTAGACTTCTCTCTTGAATCTGGGTTCATTTGGTGATGGCTTGTCCTCTGAGCAGACACTCTAAAGTCACTCCTCTGACCGCCTCCAACCTGCCCCAGATCTCAGAGGCCTGGAGGTTTTACTCATAGATGGCTGGGAAGAGCAGAGCCAGTGAACCTCCCTCTTGGCCTCTCGTAGCATACTCTTCCCCTATAGCGCTGTTGAGATGTGTCATAGGAGCACAGGGATAAGGTAAAGCCTGGACAGTGAACTAGAGACTGACACTGAGTCAGAGAGATTGAACATTAGTGTGCTGGTGGTAGAGACAAACAGTGAACAAACAAGTACAGACATCAGTATTCTGTGAGCCAGTAAATGATTTAGGCTGAGGGAATGGGGAATGCGGGGTGGGAGGGGTAGCTGGGGAGAGAAGCCTTATAAAGTACCATTGCATAGAGATCTGCAGAAAGTTGGGCGTGTTCCTTTATGGAGGGCTTCCTGGAGTCTTTGATGTATTTGCATGTACTTTGACAGATCACAGGGGTTTGTAATATTCGGTAGCTCAGAATCTTTGGGGTTTTTTTTGTTTGTTTGTTTGTTTTTTATACTAGGGATCAAACTCAGGACCTTGAGCTTACAAGGCAGGCAGTAGAACCACTGAGCTAAATCCCCGGCCCAGGTAGCTCAGAATCTTAACCAGTGAACTGACTTTTCTCCAAGAGTGTTGTAGGCCTTCCTTTAGCTCACTATGCTGCATTTTCTTAGATATCAAAATTGCAAATCTATTTTATCTCAGGCAGCACTTTGATGGTAATAGCTGCCAGAAGAGCTACTGATGCCATGTCTGGGCTCAGGATGTGGGCCATGATTAGTTAGCAATATCTGCTAGGGTGGGGAGGGGAGTGGTGCTACTCGAGGGCAGGTATTACCACCTATCTCAAGCATGTATCCCATGCTGTGTTCCCTTTTTTGGGGACTTTGAATTTGTTGGCTTATGAGGAAAGGATGAAGTTTTAGAATGTATCAAAAAAAAACAAACAAACTAATGTATTAACTGCAATACTTTAGTTACCCAGACTGACTGCTGAAAAAGAAGGCCCAGCCTCTATTCCTTAAGGGAGCAAGTCTGGCAAAATGGCTCTGTGAAGAAAACAGGCTGAGTGTTGCAATGCTCACCGGAAGGCCTTCTTCTCTAAGCAGACCACTCAACAGGAGAAAAAGTCATGCATCTTATTTACTCAGATTTTGGATCCCTGTGAACTTTTTGTGCCCACCCTGAACGTTTATATGCACTCCTCGCTTCTAGGTGTTTGCCACAAAACTGACCTACCCTCAGCCAGTGACCCCCTGGAACGTCCAGGAACTGAGGCAGGCAGTCATCAACGGCCCAAATGTGCACCCCGGAGCCTCCATGGTCATTAACGAGGATGGCAGCCGCACAGCCCTGAGCACCGTGGACATAGCCCAGCGGGAAGCAGTGGCCAAACAGCTCCTGACACCAGCTACAGGGGCGCCTAAGCCCCTGGGGACAAAAACTGTGAGTAATGGGCAGGTTGGGTCAAGGGCCCAGGCAGCTGCTGTCTGGCTCCTCATTGCTGCTATTCTAAGAGTGGTTCTCGGATCAAAAGTGGCAACATCCCTGGAGCTTGTGAGATTTAACCATGTTCCCACTTCTCATACTGAAGTGTCTTTAAAGGTGATGTTTGGGCCAGAGTTAGCCAGTAACTAAAGGCTTTAAACTAATGCTTCAGTTTGAGTGATGTGAATACCTGCTCTAGTGCTGTGTTATGATGAAGCTTTTTCTGGGTTCCTCTACGAAAAGTGCATGAGTGATTAGCTGTGTTGCTGAGGACATGTGATCAACACATGACAGCATTTGTAGCTGTGTCCCAAAGTAGCCTTCCCACTGACAGCATAGTAGCAGAAGACCCCAAACTAGGCAGCAGAGGCAGAAGTTGTCGAGTGAAATGGATTTGAGTTTAACTTAGAGGTGACTACTCAGGCAAGAGGTGACTTAGTATTTTTTTTTAACCTATCTGTGCAGCTCTAGACCTCTCCTTGCTCTCTTACCTGTCATGCCCAGTGGCTAAGTAGCTCTTCTGTAGTAATGGGTTCAAGCTGTACAATAGCCTGGAAGGAGCTCTGGAGGAACAGAGGAAAATGAGGCATTCTTTTTCCTTGTTATGGTACCCACTGGTCCCTGCTGTTCTTCCCATTGACAGCAGCACTGTGGGCCTGTTCTCTTTTTTTCCTTATTCTCACAGCTGTCCTCAGGTAGAACAGTAACTCCACACAAGTTCAAGTCTGCTTTGGTGACAGGGGACCTGCAGACATCAGATGAAGTCACCTGTTTAGTTGTTTTCTTGTGCATTGATTGAAATTTATTTGCAGGCTCATAGGCTGATTCTGCCCTTCTTGAGTGCCTGACATTTTGCAAGGAACTGTGTGAGGGTTGTAAAAGGAAGCATGAAACATGGTGTCTCAGATATGAAATAATCTTATTAAGTGAAGCCAGACTTGTGAAAGAGTCACAGCAGGGAATGATGAGAGGAAAATTGGAAGAGTTCAGCGAGAGCTCAGGTAGTACTTAGGACCCACTGAGTGCTAGGGCTTTACCAGGCATTGTGAATAAGACCCCTGCTGTCATTCTGGAGGTTGCAGCACTGCTTAGTGGTGCGGTAGACACCTTAGGGATCACTGATGGGGGACAACATTGGTTTTTGCAAATGACACTCAAGAGGAAATGAGTTTGAGTGGAAACTGCCAGGTGAGGTGAAAGGTCACAGTCATCAGGAGGAAATTATGAGCTAGGAAATGAGGCAGCCTAGAGGGCTGCTGGGGGAACCCAGGGCTAATGTGTGGGGCTGTTGCAGAGAGAAAGCCAAGGGGCATTTGGCCACAGGTTGGGCATTAGAGCTGTGGAAAAGAGAAGGGATAAATATGGTTTCCAGCAGGGGAGGGTTGGAAAGCCACAGGGGGAGATGCTTCTGGGCCCTTTACATTTACAGCAATAATGGCAAAACTAAGGGTCCATCTCCCATAAAAAGTAGAAATAGTGGTCTTAGATGTAGGTATAATAGAATTAAGAAAAAGCTATTAGAGTGTTAGTCTTTGAATGCAGAGTACAGTAGAGAGAAAAGGGGAGGGTAAGAGGACTAGAATGTGAAAGCAAGAGAGGGGAAGGAGGGATGAGGTCTGGTTTGCTCATTTTGTGTCTGCATCTATCTGTCGTATGTGGTTGTGGGTCCCTTAAGGTCAGTTGAAGGTCACCTGTGAATCAAGTGGAGGGAGCCAGATTCCAGAGTCTTTGTGATGAATAAACAAAAGCATTAAATACCTAAGGGCATTTGGAAGGAAAAGCAAAAGGATATAGGGGTTTCTGAAATTATTGGGGTGTAAGGATGAAGCACAGGCACAAGGGAACTTAGGTTAAGGGTGAGGGATACGGATAGGGACAAGGGTCAGCTCAGGAGAGAGGTTGGCCTTCTTGCCTGCTAGGTGCTTGTGCATAGCGGATGAGATCTCCTGAGTTGTGGAAGGTCAAATTGGGTGATCCAGTTGCTTGTCCTACAACTTGAATTCAAATCCTTAGCAGATTCACCAGTCCTCAGATTGTCCCTGTTTTGTCCACTGGCCTCACCTTTAAACGCAGCCTTCAGGCTCTGCATTCAGCCCGTCCATATCTGTCGACTCATTCTCCCTTTGGTTTTGGTTTGATTCTTCCCATGCTTGGAACACTTTGCTTCCCCATAGTCCCTCAGTTAACTCCACTGTTCTTCAGGTCTCAGCAAAGTTGTCTTTCCTCGTTGGTCAGATAGTAGATACTTCAGACTTTCTGGCCACACAGGCCCTGTTGTAACCACTCAGCTCTGTGGTATCATGTGAAAGCATGTATAGGTGAATGGGAATTTCTGTGTGTCAGTAAAACTATTTATAAATGAAAGTGGGCAGCTTGTAGGTTGGTTTGCCCTCTCTGCACCCAGTGTCCACCTCCACCCTCATCTCTTTAAGACTTGTGTCCTCATTGTGTTGTGTCATCACTTTGTGTGCACCCATTGCTCAGCCCTAGAGTCCCTAAATCCTGAGAGTTCCAGGGCAGGATGTGCTCTGCACTGTACTCTCAAGTTAGGAGGCACCCAGAAAACAAGAGTGTGTGGATCCAGGTTGAGCTCCCAAAGGGGCTGAGGTGTGAAGGGTTGTGTTGGACCCAGTAACAGTGAACTAGAGGGAAAAACAGGAAGGACTTTAAAAAGAAAAGGTGATCCCCATGTCAGGATATCTGCGGATGCAAGGTAGCTAATTTCATTTTCCAAAATCTCAGTGGCTTTATATAAGATTCTTCTACCTGTAATAAAATACATAGGCACTTCTAATTTTTGTTATTTTTGAAGATTTTGGTTGATATGTTGCATGTAGATCCGGACAGGGCTGAGGGGCTGGCATGATGGTGACTAGGAAGGAGAAACTGAGGTTCAGTAAGGGTGAACTGAGGATGACGTAAAAAAGAAGGTTGGCAAAAGGTCCTGTTCCCCTGGGAGGTAGGAAACCTCTGCCCCTTGCCCTGGGCCTTGTAAAGTAGAGAGGAAGTGGCTGGGACCGCCTCGGCTAGTTTCCCTGCCCAGCAGCTGCCTGAAGCAGGCCTTTGGCCCGGGCACTGGGGCACACTAATTTTCACTGCAGTATTTATTTAGAGACAAAAGAAAGGAAGGGCCTTGGATTTGGGTTGGCAGGGGGAAAGCCCTGTGCTCCAGGGCTTCTGTTTGGATTGGCCAGTGCCTGCCAGACTGGCCTGTGTACCTTCCCAGCTGTGGTGAATTTGCTTATGCTGGAGGATGTCGTGAATGTGCTAGGCTCAAATCCTAGGCCCTGCCTGGGTTTTTGGGTCTGAGCCACAGGTCTGGGCAACTTCTCCCTTGAGAGGCTAAAGAAAGAAGACTTTAGACTGTGTGACGCAAGCAGCAGCTAGTGTCCTGGACAGATGCTCATGGGAATCCTCAGAGTTCAGGTCTCCTTGGAAACATGGGTGGGACTTAGGGATGGGGAGGGGAAGGTTTGAATTCCTTAGAGAGCAAAAAAGACTCCAGGGTAGGTGTTTTTAGGGACTGCCTTTTAGTTTTTAAGGAATTTGGTCCTTTCCTGAGCTGGAGAGAACTGTAAGAGCCACTAGACTTGAAGTAGTCTATTAGTCTTGTATCTGCTGAAGCTTAGAGGAGATTTGGGGTAGTGTGAAGTATCACTGAATCTCAGCAATTCTTCTGGGCTGCTGAGGAAAGGGGTGCTCACTATGTTTGAGGAGAGTGGCACACACCTGTAATCCATCTACTGGAGAGGATGAGGCCAGAGGATTGCAGGTTTGCAGTCAGCCTGTGCAAATTGACCCTGTCTTTAAATAAAAAAATTTAAAGGACTGTGAACATAGTTCAGTGGCAGAGTGCTTGTTTAGCATTAGCAAGACTTTGGGTTCAATCTCTATTATTGGAAAAGCAAAGCAACAACAAAAACTTGAGTTGTCATTAGCTTCATTATATAGGGAGCCTGGTAATAAATATAAGATAGTAAAAGGCTTAACAAGCCTCATAGTAATATCAGCTTCATGGAAGAAGTGTTCTGTCTGAAGGACATGACTGACTGCAGATTTGTAAGGGGGAAAAGAGAGCCAGGGATTTAGCTCATTGGTGCTGCTGCCTGCCTCGCAAGCACAGGGTTCTGAGTTTGATCCCTGGTACCGCCCCCCCGCCAAAAAAAAATATATATATGTTGTAAGGGGGAAAAGTGAATGGTATTTGCCTTTGAAGAGTAAAATGACTTGTAAGTTTTTTTGGGTTTTTTTCCTCTTATTCTTTAAGTTTGTCTGTATCTGCCAAGGTTTTTTTCCCCAAAATGAGCATAGCCCTTGTGCAGTTTTTCTTGCTTTCTTTAAAAGTAATTGAGTATCTTTCAAACACTTTTATAGAAATATGTGCTCATTATAAGATGAACAGTACTGAGATATATTAAAGCTTAAGGTGCCTTGCTATTCTCTCATGGGTCTATGCTCCAGAGACTGTAGTAATGGCTTAAGGAAGATCCAAGTACCTTTTTTCCATTTACAGAGTTGGGTTGGATTTTAAATTGCATTATCCTATCTCTTTACATGCTACCTAGATGAGGGGAAGGTAGGGGATATGACGGCCTCACTTTGTGGTCCTGGCTGACCTTGAACTCACTGTATAGCCCAGGCTAGCTGACCTCAAACTCTTGATCCTCCTGCCTCAGCCACCAGAGTGCCAGGGTTACAGGCATGCACCACAGTGCCTGGCTTGGATTTCTTTTATCTTTGCTATAATACTTTATTATCACCGCTTCCAGACATGTATATATTTAACTTATTAACATTTTCAGCTTTACATAGCATTCGGTAGTATAGATATACTGATTTATTGCCCCTTCGGTAAGGTAGTCAGGTTATTTCTACTTTTTGCTACTATAAATAGTGCTGCATAAACATATATTCATATAATCTTGCTTTGGTGCTCTTTCTTCTTTTGAAAGGCTAAAAAGGAAATGTGTTTCAGATGTTCTGATGGGTATTTTCAAACTTTTCAAAAGTACTATTGCAGTTTATACTTCTTACAGGTGTTTTAAAATGTAATAAAGTATTTTCAGGGGGCATTAAAAATAGGAGTAAAGAACCCTATCTTCTACTGCTGGCTGTATGGAATGAATTTGGGCTAATTATTTCTAAAACATGGAGTTGATATTTAGAATTATGTGCTCATGTGTGGCCCTGGGGAAATTAGCTATTTCTGCCAAGTTCTTCAAACCCAAGGACTTTGTGGTTAACACAGGTGTTCAGTCTTTAGGAGTTGCTTCCATTTCATTCTTAAGGTTAACTCTCAGAAGAATCCAGGACTCTGGGAAGGCTGTGCATCTCCAGTGAAGACAGTAATTACTGGTCAGAGACCTGTGGTCTTCTCTGTTCCTTGTGTCTCTGAGGCCAGAGGGAGGATTGGAGCCATGTAGGGACAGGACCAGAGGAGCTTGAGAAGTATTTCTCAGAGATTTATAGGGTTTTACTGCAAGGTTGTGATTAGTTTCATTATATAGGGAGCAAGGTAAATCCCCTGGTATTTAGTTGACTCAGACTTGAGCTAGGCAGAACTCACTCTAACCAAGGTTAGGTGAGTTCCTGGAAGGTGTAGCAGTGATGCTGGAATTCCCACTGATCACACCCACCTGCTCTCTACTCTGTCCCCAGGTGTGCCGGCATGTGAAGAATGGGGACATCCTCCTGCTGAATCGACAGCCCACCCTACACAGACCTTCCATCCAGGCCCACCTTGCCCGCATCCTGCCTGAAGAAAAAGTCCTACGGCTGCACTATGCCAACTGCAAGGCCTACAATGCTGACTTTGATGGAGACGAGATGAATGCCCACTTCCCCCAGAGTGAGCTGGGCCGGGCTGAGGCCTACGTTTTGGCCTGCACTGATCAGCAGTACCTTGTTCCCAAGGTAGGTCTGACTAGATGTGGTGGCACACACTTGTAATCTAGCACTCAGGAGGCTGAGGCAGGAAGATTGCCATGAGTATGAGGCCAACCTGGGATACACAGTGAGTTCAAGACCAGCCTGAACTACATAGTGAGAGACCCTGTCTCAGAAAACCAAAACATGGAGCTGACCTTGAAGCCCTCCCATGGTTGTTGCAATATGTCTTAGCACCTTGAACCCAGGGCTTCCCCAGCTCCTGGGGTTCCTGGGGGCAGTCACATGGCAAGGGACACAGGCAGCAGAAGGTCCTCATTTCTTCCAGATAGTTTTTGAGCCCTCTAGTTGCTTAAAAGTAAGGGAAATGTTTCTATCATAAAGTGTTAAGTCAGGAGAGAAATGATGATGACCATCTCAGAAAGCCAAGTTCTATATAATAAGTTTCGTGTTGCAGCCTTACATGCAGATTATACAACTAACTGTCACCTGACATCCAAAATGATCAAATTGGACTTTGGTCCTTTGAGTTTTGACGAACATCAGTTTTAAGAGGTAACTTAACCCCACAGCCCAGGTCAGATCCCCTTTGTAGCCCATGGAGGGTCTCCTCTTTACATTCCTTTCTTCTTTCTCCTGTAGCCCTGTGTGGTCACTGCTGTCCAACACAACACACTGGAATGGCATAACTTCCTCCCACCTCTCTTGGCCTGCTGACTCGTCTCAGGGACCCTAACTGACTTGTGCTCATGGAGGGCTGAGCAGGGAAAGGGCCAGGCTGCAGAAGAAAGGGTGGAGTATGCTCCAGTCCCTGTTTACCCCTTACTATATGCCCACAGGTGCTAGGCCAGTGATGGCGAACCTTTTAGAGCTTTCAGTAATACAAACGGCCTGCCGTGACGTGTGTGGCTTAGGTTTGCCACCACTGTCTTATGCCTTTTCAAGTTTAAGCTATTTATATCATATGATTCACAAGTATGCACAATTAGTTTGGATTATGGTGACATCTGAAAGAACTAGGGATAATAATACAGACCCACAGCTACTATTTGCCAAGCACTTTTTCAGTGCCAGGAAGTGTGCAAAACACTTTGGAGACCCCATTTCACCTTGCCCACAGTTCTTAGAGTTCACTTAGAGTCTTCACAGCAGGCTGTTCTGCATGGACTCCGCTGTGCCTGGGAGGGGCTGCAACTTCTCGGTGACTTGACCTGCCCTGACTGAGTCTGTGTCCTCATCAGTAAAAATGAGGCATTTTTTTCTGTCTGTGGAAGCTTCCCTGTAATTCATTTTTATCTCACTGCAATATTAATTATATCAAATTGAAAAGATATGAATGAATATCCTAAAAAAAGAAAAAGGAAGACTTTACACCCTTCTCGTCATTCAGATTCCTCTGGAATGAGCAGAATTGCAGATGTGTTCAATGGAATTTTTTATGATCATTGTTACAGTGTCTGTTCTATGAGATAGCCAGACTTAAGATATTTTGACAATAAAAATGATGATTTGGATACTGAGATATTAAATGACGTACCAAAATTTGCAGAAGGAATCAAGGCCAGAAACAAACAGAAATCATAACTACCTGGTTCCCAGTCTTTACTTAGAATTCTAGACCAGACTTGCTTTTCTTCAGAAAAATCTGGAGATGTTGAAATTTGTGATGAAGAGTGTGACTCCCCTGAATCAGTCAACGAAAACAAACTCACAAGGAGAATCCTATGTAGTCCACGCTGCCAAATATGTTCCAGTTGCTGTGGAAGTGCATACAATTTCAGAGGATTATGATATAGAGACAGAAAACAATTCCTCAGAAAGCCTCCAAGACCAAGCTGATGAAGAGCCACCCACTGAACTTTGTAAAATTCTTGACAAAAGCCAAGCTTTGAATGTAACTGTCCAGTAGAAATGGCCTTTACTGAGAGCTAATAGCAGTGGCCTCTATAAATGTGGACTTTGTGTGAATTCAACAGTAAATATTTTTCTGATTTAAAGCAGCATGTGATCCTAAAATATGTGTGCCAAGTATGCAAGGAAAGTTTCTCTACCAACATCCGTCTAATTGAACGTGCCAAACTACATGAAGAGGTTCCCTCCATTTGTAAATACTGTGACTCTAAGACTGTCATTTTGGGAACCTCAGCCAGCACATTGCAGACACCCACTTCAGTGATCACCTCTACTGGTATGTGATGTGCAATTCTCAAGCAGTGAGCTCTGCCTACATTCCCAGGAGCACAGCTGTGATGATGGTACTTGAGTCAGTTCTGTGAACGTGAAACTAATGATCCAGAAGACTTACACAGCCACGTGGTAAATGAGCATGCGTGTAAATGAATAGAATTAAGTGATAAGTATAACAACAGACAACATGGACAGTATAGCTTCTTAGGCAGAATTACTTTTGACAAATGTAAGAACTATGTCAAGTGTATGGTTTTTGGAGTAGACTTTGTGCAAATGTTAACAGGCATGTTGCTATTGAACATACTAAAGTACTCATTTTTGATGACTGGGAAAGGCTTTTCAAGTATGCTAGACTACTGCAAGCATTTAAATTCACATTTATCTGAAGGGATTTATTTATGTCAGTATTGTGAATATTCAACAGGACAAATTAAAGATCTTAAAATTCATTTGGATTTCAAGCATTCAGCTGATCTACCTCATAAATGTAGCAACTGCTTGAGATTTGGAAATGAAAGGGAATTAGTAAGCCACCTGCCAGTCCATGAGACAACTTGATTATTTTCTTTGTTTTTACTGACATTATGTAAGATAATAAATTCAACTTTCTGGCAAAAAAAAAGAATCTTCATGGAGTTATGTCTGCTGCAGAGGTTGATAGTACTATACCCGAGAGCACTAGGGGCTTCTCAGAGATGTTCAGCACCAATTGGCACCCTGTACTCCTTGGAATTTCTCTGATCTCATTAGCCTCCTGCCACCAGGGAGTTAAGCAGAGCCTAATGTCCCACCCCTCCCCTTTTCTCACCATATACCCCACTGTGGCTCCAGTCAGGAGTCAGTTTGAGTTGAACTTTTTCTTCTCTGCCCACCTTAGTGGGCTGTTAACTATCCAAGGGATAAAAAGCAGGAAAAAAGTGTTACAGACCCCCTCAGATCACTTGGGAATTGGAAAAAATAATTCTGCCAGTGTGAAAATTATCTTTTCAACTTTTCATGTCAATAATGACAGTAGTAGGAATAGTCACAGATGAAGCCAACACTTACTGGGCAGGCCAGGTCTCAGGCACCACAGACATTCCGTTAGGTAGGTCTTGCAATGGCCTTATGAGGTGAGTGTCATCTTCAAATGAAGAAACACTGAGAGAGTAACTTACCAGTCAGTAATAAAGCCAGGACTTACACCCAGCACCTTTGGACTCCTGAGCCTTAGTGCTCAGCTGTGTGCGTTTTTATCCCCACTCAGCAAGGCTGGGGCTGGGTGAAGGCATGGGGCAGGATGTGGCTTCCAGGTACTGCTTGAGCTAGAGTCAGTCCCATTTCATCAGAGGGGACTACCAAGGAGCAGCAAAAGAACTTGCTGGCAAAGTGACCCCTCATCTTTAGCTATATGGGGAGTTGAGGATTCTGAAATCCTCAGACCAGTGAAGTTGGATGTTGTGTACTTAATGTTGATTGAATAAGTACAAAGCAGCAGGTAGCTTCATGCTTATGTTATATTCTGCAAAGGTCTGACCTGTTTAAATGAGCCTTGTCTCACGTTTTAGTTGGGATTATACTTAAGAGAGACAAGCAGAACCCGGATGAATAAGCTTATATCTATAAATTAATTTCTTAAAAGGGGGGTGGGGTAAACCTTGGTGATAACTAGAGAGTTCTCTTCACTTTCAGTCAATTTCTGTAAGTAAAGTTAAGCTTTTGGTTCTTTTTTTTTGCCGGGGATAGAACTCAGGTCCGTGTGTTTGTAAGGCAGGCGGCAGAAGCACTGAGCTAAATCCTTGGCCCTAGCTTTTGGTTCTTAATGAATTTTTAGTCCTTAGTATAAATGCCAAGAGGCAGAATCCTTGTTTTTGCTAATAATTATAAAAATGCAGCATGTCTTTGGTGGCTAAGTCCTAAGAGAAGAAGAGTTGGTTTGGTTAACCTAAGAAAGCCAACAGTGTAAACATTTTCTTTTTCTTGTGATACTGGGAATTGAACCCAGGGACACAGTCACACTAGGTATTTTGGTCATTTTTATTATTGTAGCTTTATTTCCCTTTATTTCTATTTCTTCTCCATTTCTAAATTCTCTTCCTTAACTAACTACAATATGGTGAACTGTAGCTATTTCTTTTCTAAGAAAACAGATTTTCATTGATCTGTTTCTTTGAGAATTTTCCCCTTCTGTTTATTGTACTGATTGAGAACCAGTGGTTGTGGAAAGTTTTGTTTTGTTTTGTTTTGTTTTGTTTTTGGTACTTGGGATTGAACCTTGCGCTTGTGAGACAGGCGGCAGAATCACTGAGTTAAATACCCAGCCCATGGAAAGTATTTTTTAACAAAGCTTGAGGTATAGTTTCCTGACATCTATTTAGCTAGAGAATTCAAGGTACAAAATAGACTCTAAACATTCTGACAAAAGATATTAATCCCTCCCCCACCCCTGTACCAGAGATCAAACTCAGGACCTTATGCTTGCAATGTAGGCACAGTGCCACTGAGCTCGATCCCTGGCCCTTACATTAAGTTTTAATGTCATTTTGCTGTGACATTAAGTAGAATATGATAGCTGATAATTTTTTTGAGTTTTTATTCAGAGATTTTTTTTTTGTAATCCAAATAGGAAATTCAGAATTCTAAGTAGACCCCTAAAAATTCAGTCATCATTCCTCTTTAAAATTCATGGTTATTACATTGAAAGCGACTTTTAGTTCTTTAATTTACTAGTTATGGGAGAATCTGGACACAGGGAAGGCACTGAATATATCACATAACTGGTAATTATGCTCCTTAAAGGAACAAAACAAAAGGGGGGAAAAAACTGTATCTGCCCCCAAAGACTGTGGGATGAGTCAAATGCATGATACTGGTTTGGATTTTTCCCTCAAGCAAAGCAAGACCATCTTTGGAACAAAATGTAGAATATAATTTTTTGCTGTTGCTAATAACTCAGAGCCTTCATAAGGACTGTGTACCATCTGATTGTGCCTTACATGTATGGCACATTTTCAGCCCATCTGTAATAATAATCTTTGAGTTTACATAGAGCCCATCACCATGTATTAGACCATTTTACATAAACCTTTTTAGTGTTTGAATTGGAACATGTGGTTAAATTCCTGGTGCTTCTCCGTGGTTGCATTTGTGAGTTCCTTTAGCCTTCATTATGAAATGTGGCCAGAGTATTGGCTAGTATTTAACAAGTAATCAAAGGATAACAGTCTTTAGATCTGTGCCCAGGTTTTTCTCAAATTCCTATAAACATGGAAAAGTTTGCAAAACTACTTCCTACAGAAGGTCAGTGATCATAGCTATTTTTGCTTCAGTGTGCCTTTTGTTACCATGCGCACAGACCCAACAGAAAATGTCCCAACAGTCTGAGGAGCACAGAGTCTGAAAGAATCATACGAAATCAGTGTGTGCACCAAATCCGGGGTTTTTGTAAAAGCCCTTGTTTTGGCATTTGGTAGGTAATAGTCTTTTTTTGTTTTTTTGTTTGTTTGTTTGTTTGTTTTTGGTACCAGGGATTGAACTCGGGTCCTTGCTCTTGCAAGGCAGGCCACCAAACCACTGAGCTAAACCCCCAGCCCCAATAACAGTCTTTTTTAAAGGCCCACCCTGAACCACTTGCAGTATTGTAAAGAGATACTAATAATGGACATTCTTTCCTTCTACAGTCATGAACATCAAGGTCCTCTCATTGCCCAGCCCAGGAAGCTGTGCTTTCACCGCTCCCTTCCTGAGCTGGCTGACTCTAAGTCACCCCTCAGACATCAGTTGTACTTTTGCCCCTCAGAGAGACTGATCCTGACCACCACCCTGCCAATCTATGATCCAGCCTGTGATTTTCTTCTACAGCATTTAAAGTGTTTTGTAATTGTGTTTTTATCTAATCATGTTTTTACTGTTTGGCTCATCCTCATCAGAAAGGTCTTCCCAGTGCTAAGAATACAGTAGGCTCTCAATAAATATTTGTTGAATGGGTGACTGATTTACAGGAGAACCAGGCCAGAAATGTGTGAGAAATACTAAAGCATAAAACCAAAGTATAAAACAAGAATACAGCTAACAGCAGCCAGACCAAATTTATGCATAAATGCCAAAAATCTGCTGGAATAACTAGAACCAGATGGGACTAAGCAGAGAAGACTTGGGGAACTGGGTGAGCATGAAGCATTTTAATACAGGACAGTGGGCATATGGCAAAAGTAGAAGCCAGTGGTGAGCCTGGTCATGTGATTTGGGAGGCAGTTTGTTTCCAGGCGAAGGCCTAGTGTAGGCATGGCAGGACAAGATGGGATATATGGGAAGGCTCTTGCTAAAAGGTGGCTTCCAAGCAGATGGAATTAGAGTGTGACTTAAAATTTGTCTTTGTTCTTCTTTTCTTGTCTGTTTTGATTTGTAGGATGGGCAGCCATTAGCAGGACTGATCCAAGATCACATGGTTTCAGGTGCAAACATGACTATTCGGGGTTGCTTTTTCACCCGGGAACAGTATATGGAGCTGGTATACCGAGGACTCACAGACAAAGTGGGACGAGTGAAGCTCTTTCCTCCAGCTGTCCTGAAGCCTTTTCCACTGTGGACAGGAAAGCAGGTAATTGGAGGGAGGGGGAAGCTGGTGTACATAAAAAAGGGAAATAGGCTGCTAATAAAAGAGTAGACTGTGAGGCTGAGGTGGGAAGATCACAGGTATGGACAACTTGGTGACTTAGCAAGACCCTGTTTCAAAATTTAAGGAGGGGAGGGTGTGGGAATATAGTTCAGCATGAAGGCCCCGGGTTCATTCCTTAGTACACACATGCACGCGTGCACATGCGCGCGCACACACACACACACACACACACACACACACACAATCTGACTTTCCCTTTGTTTGGAGTCCCTAGGTCTAGATAATTTCAAGGAATGGTCTACTAGAGTGGGTTACATGGTTTCTTTGCTTGTAATTTAAACTTGGTGTGCTTGTAATCCAATTTTTAGTCCTTCGTATAAATGCCAAGAGGCAGAATCCTTGTTTTTGGAATAGTAATGTTTATATGCCAACTGCTTTGCTGAATACATTAGATGCTTTATCTTATTTAATCCTCACAACCAACCTGCAGTTAATTATCGCCTGTTAGCAAATAGTAATACTGAGACTTAGAAAAGTTAAAGTACGTGTCCACAGTTATTGGAGACAGAACTGGGATTCAAATCTAGGACTTTTCAACTCCCAAATCATCACACCATATTTCCTTAAAATAACCAAATAGTAGTTACTTGGTAACCAAATAATGAAATACAATAAAATATGTTGTTTTACTATTGGCGGGCCTCCAGGTTCATCCTTAAGGGTCAATTTCTAGTTAGCTGAGTGAATCTTGGTTCCTCGTCCATAATAATGGGAATTCGAGTTGATTGTCTCTAAGGTCTTTCTGACACTACAGTTTCTTAAGTCTGTGGATCTGGGATTTGACTGGTTTTCAGTTAGTAAGATTTATGTTGGAATAAACCTTATCTGGTCATCTGGTCATCTTTTTTTATATGTTACTGAATTCTGTTTGCTAATTTTTGTTTTGAATGGTTTTTGCATTTGTGTTAATGAGGAATGTTGGTCTTTAGTTGTGATATCTTTTTTTTTATTATCAAGGCAGCAGGCGTTATAGAATGAGTTGGGAACTATTTCAGTTTTCTTTAAAGAATTTGTGTAATATTGGCATTATTTCATCCTTAAAGGTTTGGTAGAATTTAGCAGTGAAGGCGTGTAGGCCTAGAGTTTCTTTATGGAAGAGTTTTTAGGATTTTTGCTTGTTTTTTTGTTTTGTTTTGTTTTTAACTTTACAAAGAGTTTTACTTGGCTTATAAAATTTTAAGTTTTTAACTAAATTTTTGTATTTTTAAATAAATTGCTGTGGTTTGAATGGGTTCCCTCAATCACATGTTGGAAACTTGGTCCACTATTAAGAAGTGAGGCCTTGGGGGGCAGGGATTTAGCTCAGTGGCACTGTGCCTGCCTTGCAAGCACAAGGTCCTGAGTTCAATCCCCAGTACCAAAAAAAAAAAAAAAAACGTGAGAACTTGGACTGGGTGCATAGCTCAGTGGTAGAGTACTTGCCTAGCATGTGTCAATTTGATCCCAGCACCTCAGAAAAAGAAATGCATAGAAAAAGAAAAAAAAGGCTCTTTAAGAGACAATTAAAAGATTCAGTTTATATGATCTGTACCTAAGCTTCGCCCTTCCATATGGAATTATGCAGCAGGAAGGGCCTTGCTACGTGCCTTGTTCCCACTCCAAGTTTTGAACTTCAGCCAACAATGGAGAAGAAATAAATTTCTGTTCTTTATAAATTACCTAGTTGGTGGTACAGTATTTTGTTATTGCAGCACAAAATGGATCAAAACATAGATATGGTACTATTCACATTTTGATTATTATTTCTTCCTTTTCCTCCTTTTTCTTTTTTAATGGTAGCAAAGTTGTATTAGATAGGGAAAAAAATAGGCTTTGCAGAGTGAGTTTGGGTCAAGTAAAAGTATAGAGGAAAAGAAGTACTTGCACCCTGCAGTGTGAGCGCAGGCCATCCATGAGAGAGAGAACACAGTGGCTTGATTTCTTCTTGAAGGAGCTTTAATAGTTGTGTTTTTCAAGGAATTTGCCCATTTCAACTAAGTTGTTAAGTTTTTATACATGCTTTTTGTTTTTTTGTGGTACTGGAAATTGAACCTATGTATTCTATTATTAAGCTACTTCCAGAGCCCCAGACTGTTGAAATATAGGCACAAAGTTGTTCATAATTTGCCTTTATTGTCCTTTCTCGCCAATCTGTAGTGATGTCATCTCCCTCATTCTTGACACTGATCATTTGTGTTTCTTCCTTGCATTTCTGATCAGTTTACCTCTAGGTGTAACAGTTTTATTGCTCTCGAAGAGCTAGTTTTATAGTGTTTTATAGTGGTACCTTGGTTCACAAACTTGATTATTTCCCCAATTCTGGTCTCAAACCTACTTGGAAGAGAACCAGATCAAATTCAGTGGTTGGGTTCAATGTTGACTTTATGGGGAAATTTGATTCAGTTCTTGTCTAGTTCAGTTTGTGATCAGAATTGTGGAGAGAATTCAGTTTGTGAACCGAGATACCAGTTGTTCCTTGATGTTCTCTGGAGTTGTTTTATTCTTAATTTTGTTTTGTTTTGTTCTCTATTGTTTTTGTTTTGCATTTCATTGATTCCCTTAGATTTTTATTACTTCCTTTTTTCATTTACATTTTATTCTTTTTCTAGTTACTTTAGGTTGGAACTGAAGTATTAAGACATTTTTTTAAAAAAAAAATATATATATATATTAGGCCCCTTATGTTCTGCTTAAGAGATATGACACAAATTATATTTAATATGTTTACATTTACCCACTGTAGAATTCTAATTTCCCTTTTGATATTCTTGACGATGAATTACTTATAAGTACATTATTTGGCTTCTAGATTTTAAGTGTTTTCTAGATATATTGGTTACTGGTTTTTCATTTTAATTCTACCATGGTCAAAGATCATTGGATGACTGGCATTCCTTTAAATGTATTGAGACCTGTCTTACGGCTTTGAAAATGGCGATTGGTAAACTATCAAGTCCACTGTTTATCCTTGTTGATCTCTGTATTTTATTGCTGATGTCCAGTGTCTTGAAAACTGCTACAGATTCATGTTGCATTTGTTTTTGTTATTTCTGCTGGGAAGGTAAGTAAGGTCACCATTGGGTCTATCCTGACCAGAAATAGAAGTAGATTTAACAGAATAGACGGAAAATTTTGCAGTTTAAAATAAAATTATACATAGTTGGTACTTTTTTTTCTGTATAAAGAACCAGGTAGTAAATATTTTTGGCTTTGTTGGTCATAAAGTTGCAACTATTCAACTGTGCCATTATAACACCAGAGCACTGATAGACATATAAATGAATGAGCATGGCTGTGATCCAATTTAACTTTTATTTATAAAAACAGATGGTAGGCCAGATTTGGTGTATGTATGTGTGTGTATGTGTGTGTGTATATATATATAAAAAAAATATATATACCCTAGTTTTCTTATGTAATTAAGTATTCGGAATTCAACAGTATTTTTAAACAAAGTAGGATGCTCAAAACAGAACCAAAGAATATGTATCTGTGGCCATATGTATGGTTATTCCCTTTGTTCTGGGAATTTAGCCTAAAGAAAAAATAAACTACTTGAAAAGACAGTTTATATAATGGTTTATAGTGGTTGAATCTTATAAAGACACAGGTTACTCAAGATCAGAGCAAAGTAAATTTTGGCACATTTGTTTGCTAAGATATTACATAGCAATTAAGAATGATAGTTTTTCAAGGCCAAGTGACAATGTGGACAGGTGCCCTGACATAATGCTAAAAGAGAAGTAGACCACACAATTCTGTGTAATCAAAGCTATAACCATATTAAAATGTTTGGCATTAAAAAGTCAAAAGAAGGCTGGGGATTTAGCTCAGCGGTTTGGTGGCCTGCCTCGCAAGTGAAGGACCTGAGTTCAATCCCCGGTACCACAAAAAAAAGTCAAAAGAATTGTTTAATGTTAAGTATCATTTGTTTTGTTTTGTTTTGTTTTTTTAGAAGCTTTTGTTTTTTTCTTTTCTTTTTGGCACCGGTGATCGAATTCGGGTCCTTTACTTACTTGTAAAGCAGGCACCAGAATCACTGAGCTAAATCCTTGGTCCTCTTTTTCATTTTTAATATTTCTGGGTAAATAATATTAGAAAACAAACTTGGGTTTTACTTCTGGCATTGTTAAGATTTTTCACTTTTTCCCAAAGGTTGATGCAGGCTGTTCCTTTGCAAATAGGTGAAAAGGGCAAGAATGACTGTGGTGCACAGGAATTTGCTTAGTGGCTCAGTCTGGTTCTATAGGGAAAAGGCATGTTTAGAATCAGGAAAGGAAGAATCTAGGAAATTTATTTCGACTATCCTAGAAATGAAGTCTTAGTCTCTTTTTCCAGGACATATTATACTTTTCGTTTTTTGTATGAATCGGGGCCTCCTGTCATCTGTTGAAAGAGCATGCAAAGAAAGGACTTGTCGGCCACTATAGATCCTATGTGTACAGCTCAGTGAATGTTCACAAGGTAGATACACCTTTGAAAACTCCCCTAGCTCAGAAAGTAGAATGTCACCAGCACTCCTTTCATGCCCTCTCCCACTTACCACCTCTCCCCAAAGTTAACCACTAGTCTGAATTCCAACACTATGTAGAACTAAGTTTTAGCTTTTCTTAAACTTTATATAAGTAGAATCATATAGTAAATCATATCTGTATGAGTCACTCATGTCATCAATATAACAATTTATTCATTTTAATTGCTTTGTAACATTCCAATCTATGAATATGCCATCTTTATTCATTTTACTATTAGTGGACATTTGGATTGTCTTCAGTTGGCTATTACAAATAGAGCTACTATGAACAGTATTGTACATGTCTTTTATGGAACATATATATGGCACTAATTATACACACACACACACACACACACACACACACACACAATTTCATTGGGCTAATACCATGAGGTAGGACTGGGATTGTTAGGTCTTAAGACATATG